GGACTTGTAGTGTGGTGGTTTACGGTACATCCAGCCCGAAGACTTCTTGAGATTGCTGAGCTCCGGAGCGACTACAAACCCAAACCAGTGTGAAACTATTTTGTCAAAGGATATCATAGTATATCATACTATGATATATATTTGTTATAGTATATCATCCTATATCATAGCATGAGGCCGTCGACAACAGCCGCGGCCCTGCCCACTTGCACGCTCCAGGCAGCAGACCCATGTGGGTTTGGATTCGGTAAGACCTTCGGGTGGAAGGTTTAGGGTTTGTGTGGGGCCTTTGCTTTGTGCCCTCCTGGCACATGAGAGAGCTCCAGGTTGAGACAGGGTTGGGCCTTTATGTGTTTGCAAATGCAAACCTGAGACGCCAGAGCATGTGGTTTGCTCCAGGCATAGGTAACCGTCAGGTCGCTAATCTTGCAGCATCCAAACACAAAGGCCTTTGTCTCAAAGGGTTTGTCACCGGCGCCTGCTTAGGAACGGACTGATAGTTTGATTGTGTGGCATGGTGAAGCCTTCCTTTGTCTGCGGCACCTCGGCCCCATACCGACCCGCCAACACAATCAGAAATGCAATTACGGCTGCAAGGCAGCGTCTCTCCGTGGCGGCATTGGAAAGGGCTGTCAGGCCATTGTGCGAATTTGGGTCTGCGAGAGAGCTAATTACAAGCGAGACCAAACAAACCTAGCTTAGCTAGCCTGAGAATATTGAGAGCCTTGAAAGGCGTAAGGAGAGGGGGCTGGACACGAAACGCGACGGCATCTTCTCCTGGTGATGGGAGGTTGCACTTGACATGCTCGCGCTTTGGGTTGAAGCTTCAGGTGGGAAACATTCTGCAGCGCTAGATGTGCCGGTGGGCTGGGGCACTTCGGTATCCGAGATACCCGAAGTTCAAACCTCGCCACAAGGAACCTCGAGCTAACCAAAGACAAAGAGCAAATGGAGAGTGTGTCCGCTGTGTTCGCATCTTCGTTGACGAGCAGATCCTACATGAACTCGTATGGCTCCGATGTCTGCCGATGTGCCACGAAGAAGTGCGGCCTTCCGGGTTTGAAATCTACAAGCCGGGTTTAGGCTTGAGGGAGGTGCGAAAGGCAGGTCGTGAGCCTGGTTGCTGAGAAGTTGCCCTGCATCGCCTGATTCTAAGCTCCTCATACTTCCGAAAGGCCCCTCAACCCCCAAATCCGAAGAGTGAACAGGTAGACCTTCGACGTCCTTTAGCCGCCCACATGAAATCTCGAACATTTATGTAAAGTTCTCGCGCTGGGTCCGATAGCCCAAAACCTTGTCCGAAGCCCCCAAGCGGTCCCCAAGAGGCCGCTGCGGCAGCATGAGCAGAGGCCGGCGGGTCGCGAGGGTTTAGGTTCAGCGTCAAAGTTGGGGGGGAAGGCTCTCGAGACTTGAGGCCAGGGGTGCTTGCCTCTGTTGCTAGACCGGAAATGTCGGCAAGTCCTTCGAGTCAGGGAACGGCTTGGCTGGCCTATGGCCTAGACGCTAGGCTCTAACGCAACGAAATCAGTGGGCCTTTGAACCGCACTGTGGTGCGCTTGAAAGCAAGCACGAGATGCAAACGTGCTTCTGACCAGACTGCAAGACTTCCTCTGAAGCCTCGTTGCCAGGGCAGAGAAGCAAAGGCCATGGACACTGAAGAGCCTGGAGCCAGGCAATTCGTACAGATCTGGTCCGACAATTCAACTGCACCTACTGTCAACCCTAATTTCTTTAGTTTGTAAGTCAGGGAGGAACTACCCTGGGGGCTAGCGCAGCCCCAGTTTCAAGAGTTTTGACTTTGGGCAGAAGCCCTCCGCGAAGCTGTGTAGAGCGGTCATTTGAAAGTCCTGGCGCAGTCGCGAAGTTTTAACGCCGGAAACACATGTTTTCTGTAGTGCCATCCCAGTGTACAGCTCTTTTGGGCCAAAGATGGGCGTCAGGTCTCAGATAAGGCCGGACGACAACGACTACTACTAGCCCTACTGCTGCTACTACTACTGCTACTACTGCAACTGCAGCAGCTGCTGCTGCTGCTACTACTACTACGACGATTAGTACTAGCACTAACACTAACACCAAGACTGAGGATAAGACTAATACCAATACTAATACTACTACTAGTACTTCTAACGCTACTAATACTACTAAATACTACCACTGCTTCTACCACTACCACTGCCGCTACCGCCACCACTACCACTACTACGACGACGACGACATACTACTACTTCTACTGCCACCATCACTACCACGACTACTACTGCCACTACCACTCCCACAACAACAACAACGACAACAACAACTACTACTACTACTACTTGTTGACTTCTCCTACTCCTCCTGCTACTACTATTATTATTACTACTACTACTACTACCACTACTACTACTACAACTACTACTACTACTACTACTACTACTACTACTACTACTACTACTACTGCTGCTACTGCTACTGCTACTGCTACGGCTGCTGCTACTGCCAGTGCTGCTGCTACTGCTGCTGCTGCTACTGCTACTGCTACTGCTACGACGACGACGACTACTACTACACTTACTACATCTCCCTTCCTGCCACTTCTACTTTCATGGGTGGTGCATGTAAGCATGCATGCCCTTACCGGCACTGCGCTATTCTTGTTTGTCGTCATCCTGGTGGCCGCCGCCGTCATTGTGGTAGTCAAAGGCGGCTTTCTTAGCACCGTCATCACCAAGCATCGAGGCCATGAAGATCAGTAATAAAGCTATGACAACTGATGAACCGTCATCATGATGACGGGACCATAACAGTGATGGAGGGGAGGAGGATGCATACTGCTTCGGATGTTCTAACTATCAACGCGAATTGCTCGCTTTTCCAGATAAGGGGGGCTTTAACAGCAAGGAACCGAACTAGCAGTGTAGAGAGTACGGCAAGTGTTTCATTCGATGGCCACAGAAACGGTTACCATACCGACCATGTTGCAAAACAAGCCCTGACATGCCTTAATCTGCACTGGTTGCCCTTCAGTTGGCCTGCTTTCCGCAAGCGACACATCTGACGACATGCCCTCAGTTGTGTATTCCCGCATCGTTCCTGCGCATAACTTTCCGGACAATCGTCCAGCCAGGCCGGTTGCAAGTCAACTCCATTGGGCCAAGACTAATACCTTCTCTGAAGCTCGCAAATAGACTTTGAACTTGAAGGTGCTCGACTGTTCGGAGGTGGTTCCTTGTTCCAACAGCAGAGCTTCGAGGTTGGGGCATGAAGATTGACCAAGTCGAGCAAGCTAGGCTGCCGTCGAAGCATGTAGCTGCTGATACACTGTCGCCGATCGTGGGTGGAACTTGGAGTTTGATACACCAGACAAGGTAGGGGACGTCGAAAAAGCTCGGTACATTCGAGATGTCAACTTCTCGTGCAGATCAGAATGAACATCGGACATGAAGCATCTGACACGGAAGTGATTTGCACCGTGCCCTCCACACACCAACTTAAAACCGACGTTTGCACCGGCCTGCGTCACTGCGTGCACGGCTGCGGGTCCTTCCGCCACTCCGGCATGTGTTTAATGCTGCGTCCCTCGTCCAGAGCTTTCAGCGCTGGCTCGAGAAGCTGGGCATCTAGCAAAAGCGGCATTAGCAGTGAGAATGCCTACGGTTTTGTAGTACATTCTGGGATAGATATTTAGGGACTACAAGAGGATGCCGTTGTGATGCTGTTGATATTTGTCCTGATCCACATACTACACAGAGTCACAGAGCTGTTCATCAAATCCAGAGTGGGGACACAGCAGGAGGCACCCGAGGAATCACACGTTTGAAGCTTGGTTGTCCTGTGACGCCTGCATGGCGGAGGAGATTCCAGGTGGTGGAGCTTCCCTACAAGATGCAATGACAGAACGTGCATGGACAAAGCGCGACAGCTCGTCCGGACGAAGAAAGACGAAGTGGAGATGAGAACGAGTAAATCCAACGAAGTGCCCAAGTAAGACCATTGTTTGTGCAAATCGTGAACACTGTCCGCAAGAAATGAACATCAAAAGCTGCACTGCCCCGAAGCCTTCGTGCAATCGGTAACCTCGAAGCTTATTCTGTTTGCTTGACACCTCAACCTTCCCTGGACACGCCCTCATGGCCCCTCGAGCATCATGTAGGCCCGTGATGAATTGGCCGCCTGTCGCTATTGGGATTCTTACATTTTATTGCTACAGTCTCCGTGACAGTGGCCGGGTGGCTATTAATCAACATACCACCGGAAGCGAGGTTCGAGCGGAAAATCGAATCGCAGCCCTCCAATCCTGATTCTGCGCGCTCTGCAACGTTGTACAAGCAGCATGTAAGCGTCGGCATCATGGGCTGTGCAAGCTTATGAAAGAGGAACAAAGAGGATTCGGCATTTATCCTACAGGAAAAGCTCCGCCACTTGCATCAGCTGTTGCGCGAAGAGGTGCATGGTTGGAGGCTGATTGACGTTAGCCGTTAGTGGTCGGATCCTGGGGACTTGGGAATGTAGTCAAGCAGTGCTTGGCCCCGTCCTGGCGATTCCATCAAGCCCGGCTGCAAGATGGAAAAGCGTTGTCCGTCGAGGGTGCTCCGCTGTTGAAACGTCAGGCAACTTGGGAGTTTCCGAAAATAGCGGACCCTAATATAGCACCCTAAATATGAGGATCCATATTATAAGGACCCCCAAAACAAGGTACCCCTAATTTTCGCAAACTCCCACTTGTTGCTTGTGAGCAGCCTGCTTTGGGAGGGGATGGGCGTTTGGGTTAGTAATTCCCAGTTTTGTTCTGAGGTACGCAGACAACGAGGGATTAAAGTTGCAAATCTTGCTTGAGGCGTTTCTCGAAACCGGGTGCACACTCCATAGGCTGTCGGGTTTAAGGGTTTAGGACGGCTCGGGTCGATTCCAGGTCGCAGAACTTACATGGCCAGCCGATCCACCGTTCGAGAGACTCCTAAGATTGCGACAGTACAAGAAGCGTCAATGAGCCCAAACTCTGCTTCTCGTTGCGCAAGGTACACTACCATTGACCCGGGTGAGTCCTTCTACCGTATGGCGAAGCTCCAACTGCCAGTGGTTCAATACAATCAGCTCGTGCAGGACTCTCTCAAGCTCAAACAAGATCAGAGCCCTCCAGGAATATGTCTCGCAGCAGGTTGCGCTTGCGCGGGAGCTTCAGAATGCATACTTACTGATGAGGCAGACCAAATCCAATGCGCAATCAATATCTCCTCATCACCAACATCGGCCAGAAACACTTGCAAGAGGGAAGTTTGTGCACGAAGCCAACCGTGTCAATGGCACGCTGGGAGGGGCGATGTTCATGAACGAGACATGTGGGAGCCGAGTAGGACGAACAGGGAAAGCACACATCCAGTGCAACATACAGTACTGTACGATGCAGGGCAGAACCACATGATGTCATTAAAAATGACATAACATCATGATGGAGTCGTTACGGAATGTTAAAGCGGCATAGTGCTGGTGAGTCTTTTTCTGTGTACATGTGAGAGGCTTCGACCATTTCGCATCCAAAGGTTGGTTTCGAGGGGAGTTCAGCCTTGACGTTTCTGAAGCCACTACTCTACTCCCGACAAAACTCAGCCCTCTCATCCGAAGTGTGGTTTCTGATGCCAATGTGCCGTTGTAGTACCAAGTCATCGCCCAGCTTCGAGATCAAAGGCAGGCAGAACAACTACAGACCAGTGGAGCGCAAGCCCTAAGCCAGAAGGAGATTCGGGAACTGAACCGCAAAAGCCAGTCGGGCCCTCAGATGAAGCTAAGATGTTGAGGTCGGGCTCTATGTATGAGAGGGGAGGTTGAAGCAGGTTACCCCCGAACAAAGCTAACATCTGCAACCGCTTCCGTGAAGTCAGGCAAGCTTAACTTGACTGTCATGTAAGGCCAGGGAAAAGGGCATGATTCACTGGCATTGCAGCTTCCGCGTGCCCTGCGCCGGCAGGCAGTGCGTAGCAAGTTTATGGCACAACTGGGAAGCCTGAAAACTGCGAAACCAGGATGTGCAACAAATATACCTCCAAAGGCTGGACTTGAAACCCAGATCGGATTTCACGGGCTGGCTCCCAGGTCTTTGGAGGAATGCCACCGCAAATGCCTGGCCCTGAGGATCAGTGTCGGTTTGCACAAGGCTTGCGTTGATTTCCTAAACGTAGATCATCCTAGATCCTAGCCGCCCCACCCCAAACAAATCCCCAAGCCCTCATTCCAAACCGTCTTAGGCGAGAGCTCAAACCCAAGACAGTCGAGGGACAGCGACGAACTACTCTGGGAGTGCCATGAGAGTTACGCGGGGGATTGATGTGCGAGACTTTGAGTAGAAAGTGCTTCCCCACCGAAGTGCCAAGTGGCTCCGGGTTGCGACTTGTGGATCTCAGGGAAGGCATTTCCACGCCGGCGGCATGCAAGCGTAGAAAGAAAATTGAGTGTGCGGGCAAGGACACTAGAGTCACTAGCGTTCTCTTGTGTCGTTCAACATGCCATGCGCAGTTCGCATACGAACTCCCAGAGCCTTATGGGCCTGTCTTCAAACCGGTGGAATCTCTGTGCCACATTCGGCCGGTGTGAAAAGACTTGCTTCCCTAAGCTCCACATGTGGAGCGGGTAAGTACGATGACAAACTCAAGAGTTTGATGGTTTTCGGCGGAACAGTCAACAGGACATGTAAGTAATTCACGAAGACCGTAGGATTTGCGCTATTCGCGAGCCCCCAGGCCAAATTCGTAGAGCTCAGTAAAGCCTCGTTGGAAGATATTTTCCGTATCTCCAGCTCGTGGACTGCGTCTCCGAGACTGTGCAGTCACTGACCACGAAGCCGAAGCCCGAAGATGGTCTCTTAGCACCGTCTATGGATCCCACAGCACTTGAAGGTTCATGGGACTCAGTAACTATGGTTATAAGGTACCTATACTTATAATGGGATATAACAGCATTTAGGGTACTTATAACTGTACTTACTAAGTCCCATGAACCCCCAAGCAAGCCCCCATACACATCCAGTTCCCAGCTGCGTTCGCGGTGCTTTTGCCATGGAGGTCAGATTGGAAAAGCCTTGGATTGAGGTTGCCTGCGCAGCACATGCACACCTGATGCCCTATGTCAGGCCGTATGGTCATTGAAATCGATGGACATTCGCATCAAAGACACTCTGCAACCGAGGTGCCAATCCCATACAAGAAAGGCTAAATTGAAAGCAAAACCGTCAACGTCAGAAACTTGACAACTGGCTGCACGAAAAGACGCGACACTCATAGCACTCATCCCAGGCAGGAGAAATCTTGAGAGTATCAGCAAGAAAAAGATGTAATCTTGGAAGCGTGCCCGCAAAGCCATGCCGGGCGAAATTGAGATGCGGACGGTCGCACGGCTGCCTTCGTGGCTGACTGTTCCCGAGGAGGGCTTTTTCGAATCACGAAGGATAATTCCACATGCGCATGTGCTGTCTATTTGTCACTGCCCCTGTCGAGCCACATTCCGATTCCGGATACTGTAAAAAACAGAAGGAGGAATAGTGCAGAGCCCCACGAAGCACGTGGTCACGCGGCCAGTTGCGGCGGGCAACGGAAGCAAAGCCAATCTTACCTCAGCGTCTACAGAGGGTTGGGTGTCAAGACATACTGACCAGATCTAAACATGCTTGTGGAGATGTAATGAGATGTAGGGCTCTAAAGCCACATGTTCCTGTACAAGACGCAGACTATGTGCCTCAGGGCTTAGGCTTAGATATGATCTCAAAGCCGCATTTGCCTGGACAGCGGGCAGCAACCGTGAGGAGCTCTTGTCGGAGCCTGCTCCTCCTCAAAAGCGCGTTAAGGCCTCCGATCCTCCGTGTTAATCGGCAACTGCTTTCGTTGTGCTGGTGGGTAGAGTTTTTGAGAATTAGCGGCTGAGTTTCGAAGCTTCAATCCCGGAAGTTCCAGACGTGTTCAAGCAAGGAGCGAGCTGAAAGTGGTTGCCGAAAGCCGAAAACCTTCAACTCAGGCCCCTTAAGAGACCACGTAGAGATGACCGTGGTGGATTCGATAACGCGAATCTTGTTGAGAAAGGAGTTCAAGGTGGGGTTGCTTAGGCTTGAAGTTATTTACAAGCTAGGCGGCCCCGGCGAATCCTTCAGTAAGCATCACCGCTGTTCTGCGTAGAGCCGATCGGTAATTCGCCGGGCTTTGGGATTCCCTGCAGGCCGTGGCGGGATCTTTTGCGGTCGCAGCCTTGGCTGGCTCTCTGGCAGTTGCGGCCTTGAGCCTTGAGCTTCAAGTTGGGCCGAATGCCAAACTTCGGGGGCAAAAGTGGTTGATGCCGCCTGGGCATCGGGCCCAGAATCAAAACAAGATGTTCGCCTGGGGAGGTTGTTGAGCCGAGCTTGGTGAGGCCACGTGTGAGGGCACAAACTTGCTGCAAAAGGATTTCGGGTTTATTGACGGGGAAATGCATTACATTGGTTTTCCAACGAACAGCGGGTCTGCTTTGTTGCTTGTTGCTTGCTTTCCCGGAGCAGCCATCCTGGTTTGAATCCGGTGCTCTTCCACCAATCGGGCCGAGTTAGCCCGCCCAATCTCACCGGAGCTATCTGGGATTTTCCGAAAAAAGGGACCCTAATATAGTACCCTAAATAGTAGGATATGCCTCGCCTGGATTGTCCGAGTGTGAGCGCCGAAATAGTAGGATCCTTATCATGAGGACCCCAAAAAAGATACCTCTAGTTTTAGGAAACTCCCATCTCAAGCCTGCAAGCTGCAACTATCACTCCGAAGCATTGAAGCCTCCTAAGCACGAGGAATGTCCTGGCAGCACGCCAGCTGGCCAGCCTCTTCCTTCCGGAATTCCCTGCGCCTCGGACTGGAAATGCCGCATGTCGAGCCCAACCAAGCTACTGATCCAAAGAGTGCTGCTACTACTCTTGCTACCTGCTACCGATAAGACTCCAACGACGATACGACGACGACGCCGTGTTGGTTGTAGCTGTGTTAAGGGCGGAAGTGAAGCTCACTGAAGGCGGGGTTTGGTAGTAAATCCAAGGCCTGGCTGGAGACTTGGACCGGGAAGCCCCCCAATAGGGGAAGGGTTTGGGCTAAGTAGGGGGCAGACGGGATTTCACCTGTTTGCTTGAGGAACTTCTTCCGAAGTGTGCTACGATCTGAGGATTCCCTTCCAAAAGTTGGAGATAATTGAAATATCCACGGACAAACGACAACGCAGTAAGGTCGTTCAAAGCAAGCAGCAAGGTCATGACCCCTCTGCTCTTTTGCTTGTTGGCGGCCGGCACCTTCTGGGGCCTTTGCACTTCGGCTGCAACTCTACCCGTTGTAAGATTGAGTTGACCCCTAATTTCTGCGGCGAACTGCCAACTGGGAATGATATTCCTGATTTCGTGAGCCCATCCGGTCCTGAGATTTCGCCTGCGCCGCATCGCCGACAGTGTACATGTTGTTTCCAGATGTGAGGGAGCATTTGATCCGTACTTTTTCAAGGGCTGTGAGGAGGGGCTTTGAGGTCTAAGGCAGAGGCTCTGACACCAGGGGTTGAGTTGCTTTCACACTTATTCTTGGGAAGGCCCACTAGACTGCCAAGCTCTCGCCAAGATCGGCCCGCAGCGCCTAGTTCCTGCAGACGCCGGAGAGGGGAGTTTAGTCAATTTATACATAAAGTCTGGCGAAGGCCAGATGAGCCGTGCCGACGCGTCTGCTGAAGCTGCCTCCGACAGCTTTCGTGGAAGTGGAGTGCCTCCGATGGAACTATGCCTAAGGTAGGCCTGCAGACGTCCCGTTAAAGGCGGGTTGAGGTTCGCTAGCTGCACTGTCAGAGTTCGGCGGCTTGCAAAGGTTCCGCATGGTGTTTTGCAGGGCTTCCGGGTTGCGGCGGAACTAGCTTGTGCTAGACCCTCCCAGGGGTGGCTGAAGGAGTTCAAGGCCACAGGGAAATACTTCCACAGCAAAGCAGCCTCATGGCGGCAACAGTTGGAGCATCTGATTGTTGGGAATGCCGGATAACACTGCATGTCCAATGCTTCCTGGGGTTTCCATGGAGTCTGCAAATTCTGCTGCAAAAATGTCGCGGAAGCCGTTCGCCCCTCAGAGTAGGATACAGTATACAGTTTAGAGTATCTCATGATGTCGACATGCTGAAATCTTCGTTGAGCCGATGACATCTGTTGATGTACTCGAGCAAGCTCCAGAAATCAAAACCGTAACGTTAACGGCACACAAGTGGCAGGCTTTCAATGCTCAAGCGTGGTACTCAAGAGGGGGGAGGCCTCGAACGCATCCGTGGACCACGTGCCCATGTCGTGAATGACTCCTCAGGAGCCATTGCTAAAGCTGTGCAGTCGTTATTCGCTCCAAACAGTGAGGCATACTTGCAATAATCCGTGCTGGCTAGCATCGCAGCCACCTGCCATTCATCATGAGGGAACTGTGGGCGACTACTCCTGCAAAAGGGCGAGCTGTAGAGCAATGAGTTGGTCAGTGGTAATTTTCGAGCAGCTTTTCACTGTGACCCATGTGCCCTTACGGATCAATCCCCAGAGGGACAGGGCCATCCTAAGTGCAGGGAGCAATCACAATTCTAGTAAGTGCAACCGGCATGAAAGGACCGGAGACTGGGAAATTGGCTTGACTTCTTCGTTGTATCAGGCTTGAACCCCAGACCCTAAGGCCCTATAGACCCTAGCGGAAGGGAGCCTTTTGCATTTGGCCCACTTCTTGCTGCACGCGCTTCTGTTTATCCCTTTTTGTGCCAGGTTGTCTTGGAAACTTTGCAGCTCATCAATCAAAGCAAGCGCCTGATGAATCTATTGTATCTGGGGCAGGCATTTATCTGGATCTGCATCTATTCTCTATTGATTTGCCTGAACGCGCTGGTAACGCCAGTCTTGCACTTCTCGCCTCGCGTTCAGAACAACACCTTCTTCCTCGTCCTGTTCGATGCAGCTATGGATACTACGTTTGGAGCCGTTCTACCAGTACTCATGGTTACAAATGTCGCGATGACGTACTTAACCACAGACCTTGACATGGTACCTGACGATGCCAACGCGGAGCGCGTCCAAGCATTCCTGATAGGTAAGGGCCTGGTGCCTACAAGCCTGTCAGAGCTACTC